GGGGCTATTGATGAATTTTTTGGGTAAAAAAACGAAGATGCACTGATTCAACTAATATTTAAAAAATACATTCATTGAAACTTCAATAAACCGCCACTGAATTTTTAGACCCCTCCGACTACAGGTTTTTATTTTATAGCGATCTGACATAATCGTCAATTCTCGCAAACGGGGGTATTGACAAATATTACGGGTGAAAACAAAGTTGCTCTGATTTGGCTAATATTTAAAAAGTACATTTATTATGACTTTAATAAATTGCCACTGAATTTTTAGACCCCTCCTGCCCCTAAAATTTCTTTAATAATTATTTATGAATTGTTTATTAATGCAGATGATAAGGGCTATTTCACTTTGAAACTTAAAGCCGAGTAAGTAAATAATTTTCAAGAAAAAACGTGGTTACTACTGCTTGACATCAGGCTGGCCGAGGCCGCAATTGAATGTAAAACTTTTGGTTGGAATTTCATAGATTTAACCCCTAATCCGCAGAAGAATCTCTATAATAAATAAAATGCAAAGTAATAAAGAATGCTAAACATACCATTAGTAATTTTTGCATCTTCGATGTAACAACTTGTTTTTAAACGGAATATTTGTATTAAAAAAATGTAATTTAATTCCAATATAATTCTGCATGAAAATAATTGTCGAATGTCATATTGCTCTGACCTAATGTTTTTCAAAAAAAAATTATTTAAATTGTTACACAAATATGATGTTATTAATTAATATTAATTATAAATAATGTAAGCATTCTTAAAAAGTGTGCAAGTTTTATTAATATAACTAGAATAAATCACATCCTAATGCTATCATTGAAATCTTTATCACTACTTATATTGTGTGGTATATCAAGCACTGTACAAACTGGAAGCATAATAATAAAATAATAATCGTAATCTGATAAAATTACAAGTTGTCGAATCGGGTTTTTTGTGGCGAGCATAGCGTACTGAGTAGGGTGTTCGATTCACACGACAGGGATCTTTGGATCGAATCCTGTCAATGACTTAGAATTTATGAAAAAAATGTGTGTAGTTAATTTGAAATTAAATAAAATTGTATTTGTTAAGTAGAAATTGAATAAAAATTAAGAAAATTAAGAATTACATAATTCGAATAGCTGAATTGTATTGAGTAAGAAGAAACAAATATTAGAATTTGGTGTTATTAATAGAACAATAAAGAAAAAAGTCGAATGAAGATAAAAGTTGAATAGATTGAGAAATTTGATATGAAAAAGCAATAATTGAAGAAATGAATAAGAAAAGAGAAAAATTAAGAAGAATATAGAATAGTATATATATAGGTTGAATATGGTATAAAAATTTAATATATTCGCTTATAATTGCAATCCTTTCATTATTTAAGGGCTAATATTACTAAATTTTTATATTAATTACGATTACGATAAATAAAGTAATAAATGATAGTGCTGTGTTCGAATTAGACTCCAATTGGAATCTGAGAAGAATGAGTAAATTGTCTAGTTCCAATTGGAAACATATTTTTGATCAAAATTTCCAAGTGAAAGTAGGTGCTCTTGTATCACATGATTTTAAATACTATATATCATTATAGGATATTAGGATTTATGTGCCATATGATAGGTCGTCTGGAGATTTGGCGTGTGGTTTTTACGTTCACTTATTTTTAAATTATTTTTAAAGTCTATATTTTTATGAAATTTCACTTATTGTCCATTTTGAATAGTTCTAAAAATCATCACTTATATTTTTTATATTTGATCAATCTTGTTTCATCACGTACCTACTCAAGTTACAATAAGATTGATGGAAAGTACTATTTATAAATATTTTATATATAAAAAAATATTCATAAATGTCGCCATGTATGCAAATTATTTCAGAATAAAATCTAATTTACCACATTATGGTCTTCGTGGTTTCACAGTATCTCAGCAATGATGTAGCAAAAATTGCGAAACCTTAGTTTACGGTCACGAATTTCATTACGGTGGAGACTATGAGACTATCAGACTTTCCATGTACTTATTTTCTTTTGCATTGTGGCAAGTTAGGAGAAAAACAAAAGAAACGTGACTCGTGCATATTTTATCATAGTGGAATGTCATATACAGTATAATTTAAGATAAAAGCATAGAAAAAAAACAGAACAAAAAGTATTGGGTACATACAATAAAGACGATATCGAGTTGGCAAAAAGAGTAATTGAATTTTTTGGTAAGGCTAATAACACTATTCATATTTCTTTTACTCGTTGTTCTATTACTACCTTTTTTTGCAATATTGTTTAAACAATCCGAATCCATTTCTTATGGATGGTGTAAATTAAATTCACATCGAAGTATTTTTAGCTTTCCAACAAAATAATGTCTGAGAAATCGTTGGACGAGAAATGTTTAGCAAAAGAACGTGAATGGCGAGATGCACTTTTAGAAAAACACGACGCTTTGCAGACTGATCGAGATCGTTTAACTAGAAAATGCGAAGCTCTTATGTTGGAAAATGAAGGGATTATAGAGGATATCAGAATAACCAGGGATGAAAATTCTAGAATTACTAAAGAAAAAAGCGTTCTAGCTCAGGAATTACGTAGAGCAAGGTGAGATGTTGACAATAATGCTTTAAGGATGCTTATTATCTCGTTATTTTTCAAAGGAAGTTCAAATTTAACAATAAGAAAAATCACATAAAGAGGTAATTAAAATTCGATAACATTATTTATGATCTGTATACGTTAAAGAATTACAGATTAAAAATACATTGAAACCAAGAATATTTTACAAATGAAAAATATATTAAAAATTAAAAAAATATCTACGGTGTGCATAAATTAATAATTGAAAATAATAACAAACTCAAAATAAATTTTAAATTAAAAATACATTATAAATTAAAAATGCATGACAAATTAAAAATTGAAATAATTAAGTAGTCACGATTCGAATTTCTGCCTTTGCGGAATTTGCGAAGAAACTATGAGTAAAATTATCGTTCTATCTTGTACTTTAATGTAGTTTTAATTTATAATATAATTTTAGTTTTAAAAATATACATGTATTGCTGTATATATTAAAAATTTAAAATACATTAAAAATTAAGAAAGAAAAATTTTACAAATAGATTTAAGATTACATTGTTTTTTTCTCTCAAATTTGCTCTCTGTTTCCTAACAAATATGGTAGAAATATATTGAATTGAAAATATAATTAGTATGGTTTACTCAATACTTAAAAAAACTAGGTGTGAGTGGCATTTTGCCGGAAGGAAAATTGCTTGAACTTTCCGATACGTGTAATTAATTTTAATTAATTTCCTAATATTTTTGAATTAATGTGTAATATATTATTTTACATTTTTAAATTTAATTTTTTTTAAGTTCAATTAAAATCGCCAAAGAAAGTTTAATAACAGAAAAAATTGCTAGTCCTTTCGATATTAACCAATAACTAATCAACGCTGTTTCGAACATTTTTCGAAAAGTTTCTGATATATAAAAACCCTTACAGTATTTTTTGCAAAATCGTAGATGAAAGCATAAAAGATACTCTTGTATCCTTTTATGCTAATTATAAGGAAACAGATGTGCCGATCCTCGCGCAAAACCAATCAAAGCGAGTTCATATTATTAAGTTCAATTAAATGAATTTAAAAATTATAAAATCGGTGCAGACGTTTTTGAGAAAATATCGACAAAGAGTCAAATTTAGGCTCGCAAATTTAGTTTTGCTTCGATTTTTTTTTAATACCATATGATAGGTTACTAAATATTCAAAATCAACAAAAAAACTGTGAGAATTTTGAATAAATCTATATACGTAAAATATAAATAATATTATTATATTTTTTTTATGGAAATAGTAATCATTTTACTATCCCATTAGCAGAACCTTTTTTTATTTTTCAATACTCGATTAATGTCGGTAATTTATCTAGGTAGCTAAGTATGTAATTAATCTTTTTTACGTTCTTATCTGTAGATTTTTGCACCATTCGATGTTAGCTGAAAAAGAAAAACTTAAGCGCAATGTAATTCAGTGCGAAAACCAACTAAAAAAACATAATGAATCACACAGGATTGAAAAGGATAAATTACAAGTAATGTATTGAATAATATTTAAATTAATTCATTATTGTACAGCATAACTAATTAAAATTATTATGAGTAAGTAGTTAATGTATCACAAAATTGGCCGCGTAAAAGATAAAAATAAATCATTGATTCTAGAAACTTTTCATATAGGATATTGTGAATTCTTTAACACAAGAAGTAGAGTCTCTCGAGAAGGACAACGCCAGTAAAATCGAGAATATAAAAAAAGATTCAGAATATAAAATATCACAAATTCGCGAACAAAATGATGGTATTCAAGCTCGGTTAAATGTAACAATTGCACAGCTAAGTGAGAAAATTAAACAACAATCTGAAGAAAACGCAAAATTGTTTTTAATTCAAAATGAACTTCGAGATGAAATTAATTTTCTTCGCGCTGAAAAACAATCTTTAAATGCAACAATTGAAAAACAATCAAACGCTTTAAAAAATGAATCTATTATATTTAGTAGAAAACTGTCTAATCTTGAGCAAAAACTACAAGATTATCATACCGAAAATCAATTAATTAAAGAAGAAAATTATAATTACTGCACCAAATTATTCAATTTAGAACAAAAAGTACAGAATATGACCTCTGAAAATATGGATCTAAAACGCACGCAGACGGATCTGGGATTTCAGACAGATCATATGGGTAAAAAAATGGAGACACTATGTAACGAAAAACAAAAGTTAGTTGCAGAGCTTGAATGTATTAAAAACCACCCAGTAGTGATGGAACTAGAACATACAAAACAACAAAACAATGTACTTAGAAATGTAATATTAGAACAAAAGCGTATCATAATAAAATTAAATACTGAGAAAGATGAGAATCAAAAAACACTGATTTCAACAGAGACTCAAACATGGAATCACGTTAGCGTACAAACTGATAAAAAAAGCAAAGAAATAAAAAAACATAATTGCATTCAACGAAACATTGATGCAGTTACTAATCCAAAGCCTTGTGATAACACAGCTATAAATGAAGCTGAAAAACGAATTCAAGATCTAGAAAATATTGTTTTTATTTTAAAACACACTTTAATACAAAACGCGACATCAAATATTGATGCACACTGTCTTGATAAATGAAATCCACTTATATTTTATCACAATCAATATGCTCATTCAAAAGTTTTTATAACTTCAGCACCATCAATCATTCCTAAACCTTCTAGCGTATAGGCTAAGTTATCTAAACTTGCATCCACATCATCTTCGAACCACAACTGCAGCATTTTTTTAGCAGCTGCAGCTGGAGTTTTATTTTCTGACTCGAAAAATTCTATTTCATCAGATGTATAGCCAAGTTTGGTAGCTAGTTTTTTCCATTCACTTGCAATCTTAATAGAAAGAATATCAATTTGTCCGGGTGTTGCAACTTTAGGTTTTGTTGAAGGCTGCTCCATCATTTGTGCTTCATTTTCCGTTTTCAAAAAATCTGAATCAATAGGTTCAGAAAAGTTTTCTGTCTCATCTGTTTGATTTGTTTCCGGGGATAATGGCTAGAATTAATAAAATTGATTCAATTTTATATGTAATTGATTTCAATATGATTCAAGCATCTAATAAACTTTATACTTGTATTCATAAAATTCATTATTATATATCAATAAAAAATCATGTTAAAAAAATAATAAAAATCAGAGAAAATAAAAATGTAATTGATAATTTATAGATCAACTGCAAAAGATATAAAACAATAATAAAGATAACCAAAAATAGCATATTTTGTATTTCTAATTTCATGCCTATTGGACTAAATATAATGTAATTTTTAATCACCTGTTTCGAATCTTTTCCTTCTACATTTGAACTTGTGGCAATTTGATTTAAGAAATCGGAAAGTTTACCAGTTGTGTTGAAACTATTTGTATAAAACTGTGGGCATTTTCTAGCTGCTAGACGTAATGCACGCCATTCGTTATTTGAATCATTTCCTGTATTTTCCAAATATTCTGAAAATCATAATTTCAATTAATTTTGTACTATTCACAATTAATATTATTACATAAAAATCTCGTAATTTCTCACCTAAACCTGGCAAAAAGTCACGATCTTTTCCTTTACATGATAACATATTATCAGGACATAGATTCCACAATTTTGTCAAATCATCACTAGAAAAGATAAGTTTAATATTTCATTATTTGAATATTTTATTATAATTTTGTTAGTAAAATTTTTGAACTTACTGTCCCATATAAAATTTTCCTTGAGCCTGGCTTTCTTTTAAAATGTCTCCTAAAAGCTTCCTGGGCCTTTTAGCTCGATTAAGTACTTTTTCAGAAATCTTACTTTTCTTGTCACCATCTTCAGTATCTAAACTCACTGGTGTGGGTTTCTTAAATTCTGTAATTAGAAAAAATACATGTATTGATATATTTTTATATGCAATACTAGCAAATATAAGGCACCTGGGCAGCCTTCATTTTTCCAACCATTCCATGCTTCTTCTCGATTCATTAAATGTTCAACAGCAGAAGAAAATTGTTTACCATCAGGAGGTGTTTCACCAAGTAAAGAAAGGACTTGATTCCAAGTTTCGTTAACCCAATCAATGTTAGGCCCTGACAAAACTTGCCCCTCACTAAAATATATTAACCAATTTAATATAAAAAAAAGTTAAAAATAACCAACATTGGGTTTCTAATTACTAATACCTTTTAAATTTAACTGTAGATTTCAGATATTGGAATAAAATTAAAAATTGTACTAGTACATATCGGCGAAAATTTGAATCCGATAGCTGTAATTCCAACAACTTTTGATTTGTTAAATATTTTGCATAATAATGTGTGTCTTCACTTGATATTTTTTTAATTTCATCATCTACTTCCATTTGTTCATCCTTTTTAACATGCTTAGATATTTGTTTAGTTTGTAAAAGATCAAGTTTGAAACTACTGAATGCCGATAAAACATTTGTTGTATGCTAAAATGTATAAAAAATAACTATATGTTTATATTTTCAATAGCAAAATTCAATGAAACATTGAGAAACTTACTGAAGTAAATACTTTCCATTGTACTTTGTTATAACACTGATTTGGATTCCTGAAAAACTCTTGTAGTGACCAAAATTTACAATACAAATTATAATCTATTTTAACTTTTTTGTCGTCATCTTTATCTGTTTCAAGAGACTCTTTCAAGCTGAGATCAGAATCTTCAGTTGATAACTCAGTTACATTTTCCAAATTAAACTCAGAGACTATGTTCAAGCCTGATCTTTCACTGAATGGAAAAAATTTAGCCAGGAAAAGTAAGATTCGTCCACAAAACACTGTATTTTGTGACCGTGATAACCTTCTGAGCAAATCATTGCACATCCTCAGCAAATTATTTTTACAAGCTATGAAAAATATCTCTTCTTTCCACGTAGCTACATTATCTTCAACATAACAGAACATAGATTCACAATTTTTCAAAGTAAGTGCATCAAATATATCTCCTAGCAGAACCACGGGCATTGTAGGTCCAGTCATTTCCGCTTTAGCACATTCAATACAAAATGTTACTAAATTTCCTAACAAATCTAAATCTTTATTTTTAAGAAATTTGAGTAGCACATCTCGAAATACTTGTTCCACAGCTGCTTTTTTGTCATAATCAGAGGATTTATTCTCATGATAATGACTTAGTAACTCGTCAAATGTTTTTGTCTCAAACGCCGTTAATAAACGGTCCTAGAAAAATTAAACGTAATAAACGTGGTATAAGAAATAAAAACCTCAGTAAAACAACAAATATAAATTAAATTCTGTTTGAAATGTGTGCATACATTATAATCAGCCCTCAGTGCCTCAAATCCAATTCTTGAAGCCATACTTCTTTTGGGTCTCATCAAATACCAATTTGCTTTAAAAATTTCAAAATATCTAGATCAAACCATGAATTATTATTAATTAGTTAGTCTTAAGCTCATGACTTTAGGAAAAACAAAATATTAAAAATAACCCAAAAAAATATCAATGTTTTTCTGTTATTTGACATTTAACTAGAACTGTCAAGACCAAGTTTACAACATTACAACATTTAAATAAACATGAAGTTGTGCAAGCTTTATTATTGACAGCTGTCAGTTTGTAAATCTTGTCCTGCTTAAATATTATTTTATAATATATTTATTTAAAATGTTTAAATATAATTAACTATCATCTCAATGATTTTCATAACGTGCATCATAAACTTTAGTTTTATTTATTATATGTGTTCCGTTCACAATTTGATTCCTTTGCATATAACTATTTTTTCTTAATTATTTTAAAATGCAATTAAACAAAATTTGTAGAACTTGCTTAAATATGTGTGCAGAAATGCATTCAATTTTCAAATCAGATCAAAAAGAGGTTGAAGCACAAGAAGGGAACAAATTAAATTTAGCTGAAATTATTACTTATTGTGCCATGATAGAGGTCAGTTAAGTTTTACTCTTACTTATCATATATTTTTAAGATATATTTATTGTGTATCATTCTATATCTTTACATCAATTTATGAAATATGCTAAAGTAATAATTTTTATATTCTGTATATTATTCCAACTATTGAGTTGCTTTTCCATCATGTCATTGTGATATACAATGTCCCTATTATGGTTGACAATTGTAAATCAAAAAATTTGATAAATGTCCTTAACTGGACACTTGTAAATATGGTAGTGGATAAAGAAAAACTCTTAAATTTAATAATTACTTTTCTAGCTAAGGGAAAATGATGGACTTCCACATTTAATTTGCATAGATTGTGTTAAAAATGCTAATATAGCATTCACCTTTAAACAGCGATGCGAAAGTTCTGAGAAAAAACTCCGCAGCTATTTAGAACCTGCATCTCCAGATGATACAAATGTTAAGACTGAATATACTTATGATTTTGCTGATGAATGTGCAACAGATTTGGATCTTAAGCCACCCCCTGAAACTGCAGAAGTTACACCAAACTCTGTACCAAAAACCAAAACTAATATTGGTAAATCTAGGAAAAATAATAACAGCCCTACGAGGCAAAATATATCAGATGAAACGGAGCAACCCTTATATCCTTGTGAAGACTGTGTATTATGTTTTACAGAATTACAGGATCTCAAAAGACATGTAAAGAATGAACATTCCAAGAAAAAGCCTGTATCATATGTTTGCAAAGAATGTAATCAAACGTTCTCACATGCACAAACACTATCCAGGCATTCCAAAATACATCAAGAACATCAAAAAAATAAACTGTGCACTTTCTGTGGAAAATGCTTTTTAAGATCAGATGATTTGAAAAGGCATACTAGAATCCATACTGGAGAACGTCCTTATGCATGTGATCAGTGTCCAAAAAGTTACAAACAAAATTCTGAATTAAAAGAACATTTGAAATCACATTCCTCAAATAAACACTATGTGTGTTCTATTTGTGGAAAAGGCTTGGCTACAAGAAATGGATTATATGTTCATATGAAAGCTCATAGAGGTGAAAAAAATCATGAATGTAAAATTTGTGGAAACAAATATATAACAACAGGTGAACTCTCGTCTCATATGAGTCATATACATTCTCAAGAAAAGAAGTTTTCTTGTACTTTCAAAGATTGTACTAGGGCGTTTGTTACTAAATTATCATTAGAAACTCATATGAGAGCACATCGAGGGGAGAAGCTGTTTAAATGCACAATATGTGATAAAGCATTAGCAACAGCTTCAAGTCTTCACGAGCATAAAAGGACTCATTCTGGAATCAAGCCAAAACAGTGTACTTTATGTTTTCGTCGTTTGGGTAATTCACAAGCTTTAAAAAAACATATGAGAATTCATACAGGAGAAAGACCTTACCAATGTAAGATATGCCTTGATAAATTTATATGTGGTAGTAGCCTGAACGCACATATGAAAATAAAGCATATGGAAAAAGAACATGAATGTACAGTTTGCCATAAAATGTTTGCATTAGGAACAAGGCTTAGACAGCATATGAAACTACATAGTAGTGACAAAACATTTATATGCAGTATTTGCAATATTGGGTTTGATGAAAATGTAAAATTATTTGAACATATGAAATCACATGAAGAACAAGATCAGAGTTTTAAGACTATTGAAATACCAACACAATTACCTCAAATGACAGTATCACAAATCACAATGCACGCAAATTACTTATAATAGATATTGAAAGATTCATACTCGGTTATTTTTAAATTGTATAAACTGTATATTATATCAAATATGTATTGATCATATTTTATATGATAAATAAAACACATACAAAAATATTTCAAGAAGATCAATTTGTAATAATTTATCAGTGGCCAATTGCACCCTGACTTGCAGCTAAAGTTTGAATGAAAATGTATGATTATTTTTACTATCTTCTATTAACACAGAAAATTAGCTAACTACAAAATTAAAAGCATTTCTTCTGTATTGCAAAAAAATAAGAATATTATGAGCAAATTAAATAAAAAGTTATACCAGTTCTAAATTCAAAAGTTAATAAAACACAAACTTTTAATTTATAAAATTGATTTAATACTTAGATAAATGCTGGCATTATATTCTGGAGTATGATATCACCATTATCATGAATAATATTAGTTTTATTTACATTTTTATATAATCCTTGTTTATGGCTCTTAATATGTTGATGTAATCCAGAGCTCTGTCCAAAGGACATTCCACATTCTTGGCATGTATAAGGTCGCTCCCCACTGTGAATGCGTAAATGTTTTCGAAGAACAGTAGCTAAATGAAACCTTTTATGGCATATATGACATTCTTGCTGTTTCTCCATATGTTTAACTTTAATATGTGTATTTAGTATACTGTTTGAAATGAATGTGTCATTGCATATATTACATTTATATGGACGTTCTCCTGTGTGTAGGCGAAAATGTTTTTTCAAAGATTGTGAATTTCCATAGTATTTGTGACATATTGTGCATTGTTTAGGTTTAATGCCAGAATGTGTCCTTTTATGAGCATTTAGATTAGATGAATTACCAAATGCTTTATTGCAATGCGGGCATTTAAATTTCTTTTCTCCTGAGTGAGATTTTTCGTGAGTAACTAAAGCTACTTTTGTAATAAAAGTTTTATCACAGTTTGCATAATTGCATTTATATGGCTTTTCTTGGCTATGGATTTTCATATGTAGTACCAAAGATCCAGAAGTAACATATTTTAACCCACAAATAGGACAGATATGTTTTTTTTCTCCTCGATGAACTTTCATATGCACATATAAGCCATTTCTAGTTAATAAACTTTTACCACAGATTGAGCAAATGTAACAAAGTCTATCTTTTGCATGGCTTTTTAAATGTTCTTTTAACTCATATGAGGTCTTGTATTGTTTCACACATTTATCACAGCAATAAGGTTTTTCACCTAAATATAAAATATCAATAACATGAAGCAAATAGTTGAGGTAATATTCTCAAATACAACTGACCTGTATGTAGTCTATTATGTATTTTTAAATCACTTGATCTTAAAAATGTTTTTCCACAAGTTGAACAAAGAAAGTTTCTGGTATCAGTATGTGTTACCATATGTTTATTTAAATTTTCTAGGTTTGCGAATGTATTTGAGCATATCTATAATTAGGTTCAATAGTTAAAAACATATTACATCAGACTTAATTTTATATAAAATGAAAATAACCTTGCAAGAGAATTTAATATTATGACTTTCTGAATGATTTTGTAAATCATCTTCTTCAGTAAAGCACTGGGTACAATCTGGACAAGCATAAATCTTTTGTGTTGTTTCATCAAATAATTGATTAACTTCATCTGCTTTGTCTTCAAGCAAATTTGATGAGTTATCGGGTACTTTTTTATTCACGTAATTACAAAGCGTTTTATAAGCATTTTCACAGATGCGTTGGAAATTATAAGCGGCACAAAGTTGACCTATACATATATGGCAGATATTAGATGGTAAGCCATCATCTTTTTGTATCTACAAATGAAGTAATTTTAAAAGAGAGAAATACTTTATAAATAGAGAGAAATTTTTTATCAAAAATATGATATACCTGCACTTTAGCGCATGACTTTATCATATATATCAAGGATGCATTGTCATAGATTGATCCCATCATTCCAGCACTACCAAGACATGTGCGACATACTTTATTTAAGTCCAAGTTGACTATATCGTTCATTATTAATGAGTAAATAAAATGTGGTAAAATTTTTACTTTGAAGAATTCGGCTTATATAGAGCAGTAAGCAGTATGAATTTTGATGAATATGTGGTTTCAAGATTTTTGGTTGCTTGTTTGGTTAGTTAAAGATCGGTTGAATATACAGTTCAATATTAAGATGTAGTTGTTATATTATATTAATTAGCTATTTGATAATTGTAATCCTATGTTTTGCTTTGTCTATATATTATCTATTTATTTCTAGTTTTTTCTGGATTTTTGTTCAAATATATCATTAGAAGACATGAATAACCTAAAAATACTAAAATGCATAGTTATTGAGCAACTGCGATCTTGTTGTTCTATTTTTTATCATTTTATAAAAAGTTTCTTTTCATAAAACTTCTAATTTGACATTTTGACAGCCATTAAAAACAAACAACTTGTGTACCAACAAATAAAAGGAAAGTACTTTGACAGTTAATTTGACATTTTCGTATGTTGGTACACATGTTGGGTATTTTGATAGTCGTCGAAATAGCATGTTTTAGCTCTATATTTTATAACACATATCAAATTATAATTTTCTCATAATAATTACAATACAATAGTACTATGACTATTAAGTATTATTTTTACTTCTTGTTCTGAATATTTTTTTCAAACAATATTCCTTGTGCAGGTATTACATACATTCTGTGAATGTAAAAAATACAAAATTGCGTAATGTTATTCCAAGATTATTTACTTAGTCAGCGTAAAAATGTGTACAACCAATTATCATATATAAATGGCTTAATATGTTTTAATTTAAACTAGATTTTACCGGTCACAAAGGTCATGAACTGACAATTGATAATTCAAGACTTCTGACTTTACAAGTTTTAGTCAGTTAAATATTTCGGATGTATAGATAAGATTTCGTAAATTCGAATAAAAAATTATATGTTAGTCTAATAATTAAAAAAATCGTTTGGTTTTGTTGCATAATATTCAAAAGAGAATGTTCCAGTTTTAGAATGCTTTGCAGATCATTGTACAAGGATTGAAAGTTTCTATTTAAATTTTATTATATTTAATTTATTACAATTAATGAATGGTACGTTTGATGAAAAAATATTTTGAATATATGAGTTTTAGCGCGAATAACAACATGAGATAATTTAATTGTCAAACTTTCCATTAGTGTGATGCATCTTTTTATTATACGATCTTATCTTATTATTAATTCTAATTGCGATAAGACTCGTCTCGTCAATTGTGTTATGTCATGTATTAAAAGTTGTTTTTGAATTAGATGTCGGCGAACTGTTTAGCGTCAACATTGTACAATTACAGTAAATATTGTTTTAAACCTAATCTACTATCGGCCGGAAAGTCCCATTTAATATTGACTCTCAATTTTTCTACTACAATGTACAGAAAAGGAAAATTTGACTTTCCTAAGAGATTTACAGGACAAGAAAAAAGTGTATGGTATGTTAATAAAGGTTAAGTTTAATTAAATGTGTAAATTAATTCTAATATCATTATGCAGGGTTGAGTATATAGAGTTAGCTATCAAATATAAACCATTAAATTTGGGACAAGGTTTTCCTGATTATCCTTGTCCAGAACATGTTACAAAGGCTTTGGCAGATGTTGCAACTGGACCCGATTCATTATTGCATCAATATACAAGGGGTTTTGTAAGTTTAACTTATATTAAACTGATTTTCAATAGTGCTTCAATTAATTGTCAGTATTATATATGTATAGGGACACCCAAGATTAGTAAATGCCTTAGCTACTTTATATAGTAAAGTCTTAAATAGGTCAATTGATCCAATGAAAGAAATATTAGTTACTTCTGGTGCTTATGAAGCTCTTTATTCTACAATACAAGGTGAGATGAATATGTGATTTAAAAATATCAGTGTTTATTGATACGAATCAAAGCACATTAAAAACACATCTAATATATCATTGACACTACCCATAATTGCATTTTTTATCATGTAATATCATTTCATCAACGATTAGACAAAATTAAACGGTGTGTTTTTTCTTATCCCTTACATAATGCAATGACACTGCATTAAATGTCCATTTATTATGAATTTTCTTTGCCTTCTATTTATGATTGAAATAATTATTTATGAAGTTTATTAAAATCTTCATATTAACAGGACATATTGATAGAGGAGATGAAGCTATAATTATCGAACCTTTCTTTGATTGCTACGAACCAATGGTAAAAGGAGCTGAAGGTGTTTGCAGATATATTGCTTTGAAACCAGTATGTAATCTCATTGTTTCCAACAATCATTTACAATTGATCTAACTTATTTGTTTTCAACATTAAAGTCTCCTGATAAATGCTCTGATGCTCAAAGTTCTGCTGATTGGGTTCTTGATAAAAAAGAATTGGAATCATTATTCAATGAGAAAACAAAGCTTATTATTTTAAATACCCCTCACAATCCAACGGGAAAGGTATTCACCTTGGAAGAACTGGAATTTATTGCTGAACTATGTAAAAAATGGAATGTTCTTTGTATATCGGATGAAGTTTATGAATGGATGGTGTTTAAGCCTCATAAGCATATTAGAATTGGTATGGGCTATAAACAATTACTTCGTAATGATTTTAGTTATATATTTCATTGTTACTCAATTTTTATTAGCAACACTTCCTGATATGTGGGATAGAACTATTACTATTGGATCTGCTGGAAAAACATTTTCTGCTACAGGTTGGAAGTTGGGATGGGCCTACGGGCCTTCTGATTTACTAGAAAATTTACGTGTTGTTCATCAGAATTGTGTATATACTTGCTCTACACCATTACAGGTTTGAAAACTTTTAATAGCCAACATTTTTTTAAGTATAAACTTACACATTTTTGTAGGAAGCATTAGCACGCGGTTTCGAAACAGAATTAGCTCGATTTGATTCTGATGAGTGTTTCTTCAAATCGTTAGCTGTTGAGTTAGAAGGGAAACGAGATTTTGTTTGTAAATTTTTAGAGGATGCTGGTATGAAACCTGTAAAGCCGGATGGAGGCTATTTTATTGTAGCTGATTGGTCAGCATTGGGAAGTAAAATAAATTTAGATTCCGAGACAGATCCACAACGTGATTACAGGTTTACAAAATGGATGACTAAAAATGTAGGGCTTCAAGGCATACCGCCAACAGCATTTTATTCTAAAGAGCATAAACATCTAGGAGAAGATTATGTTAGATATTGTTTTATAAAGAAAGATGAAAATCTGAAAAAAGCAGCTGAAATTTTACAGAATTGGACTAAAACGCTTAAATAAGAATATAAATGATTAAATGCTATGGTGAACATTATATATTTATACAATTTTTGCTATATCCTGGACAAAGGTTGTTGATCACAATTATATTATAAATCTTGTTTTATATATTATTGTAAATATTTAATAAATTAATATATTTATATAAAAATTTGTGTTATTATATAAATTATGTATTATTTCTACAATTGAGCCAAAATTGCTCATAATTTCTTTTCAATTGAAGTTAATTATGAAAATTTAAAAGATGAATTGAGTGGAAATGTGCACATGTGTTATTTTAAGAATCATGGATAAACTGACTGAAATTTATTCAATTGTTGATTGCTTTACTGCATAGATTAGAACAATATTTTGGATTTTGGATATTTTGAAACTAGTAGGCTTTTGAAGGATGTTTTACAAAAATCAATACAATCACACTGGTTAATAGTATAAAACTAACTAGGTGAATTTTGCCTTGAGGAAACTTTTTGTTTTGCAAGTTGCTGGAACATCCCAAAAAGTTTAAATAACAATACTTCATAGTTCATTTGGCTGTTGAACTGCATGAAAACGCGCCTGGAACATACGTCCAAAATGCTTATTATTTTAAACTTCGATAATTTTGCTGACTAAGCCACTATTCGGAGACCTGTAACAATTTGATATGTTTTTTTACACCATAATTTATACAAAGTTTTATAAAAAAATCAGTGATTGCGAAAAAGCGGTCTGGCCGATATTTACCAAAAACTCTTACTGGATTTCTTTGGGGCAACTTTTGGAACAGGTTTCAAAATTTTGAAATCGGTACAGGATTTTTTACGAAAACGCTGACCAAAAATTTTACAATATTTTTTGCTAATTTTAAAGGTACTGCTCGGCTAATAATTGTGCAAAACTAAACAAAGCAAGTATTTATTGAATTGCTTTATCAAACGAATTTGAAATGTTTCTAATGGATGTAGCTGTTTTTGATCGAGGATGCTTTTGGCAGACAAAAATTGGCTCATGCACACATATATTTTGGTATCAAACGATTCAGGATGAAAACAACGAGGCAGCATCGAATTTTCGGACAAAAAAGGCTTCAAGAAGTCAAAAATCTAATGATTTTTTCAAGAACTCACATTTAAATAAATATCTATTCTAGTCAAATTAGTGCATATATATATATATATATATATATATATATATATATATATATATATATATAGCGGGTTGTCAACACGCATCGCGGCTCGTCAACACGCATCACATGTTACTGGACAGATTGGCCCATATAGTGACAGCACTGAGAAAAACAAAAGGAAATTCAAGTGTCAGATCGTACTTGGTTTTTGTTTCTCCCTAGTCGAATTTGCTAAAATGTATAATTCTTAAAACCTTTCTTTTCAATTATAAATAAGAAAATACCAATAACGTTTTATTAATGATCAGTATGACAACACATAGTGTCGTGGATATTAATCATATATAAAATAAACGAAATATAATAATATTTTATGAAATTTATTATTGTCTATCATTTTGGTATTTAATATGGACCACACCTCCATATATATATATATATATATATATATATATATTTATTTATTTATTTAATATATACGGTTAAAACAAAAGTGATTTTAAGAAAACGGGCCACAATTTCAATGATATCATGGCTAAGAGCATTTGGCTCATGTCCTTACAATATAAATCTATCTTATATTTCGATATGCACTACTAATAGGAAAATTATATTTAATTTTTAATTGAAATCCATTTTA